ATGCACGTATTTATTTATTTTGAAATTCGCCTGAGCAGACACATTAGCTGCGGATAATGGCAGTGATTAATCCTGGAGTAAACAGCTGAAAATGCCCTTGCGGAAAAAAAATCATCAAATTCAACCTTCAGGGAAAAAAAATAAAAAATCTAAAATGTCCTTTCTCACTCTGTGATAGTTAAAGCAAAGTAAGACAGGCTGGAGATTCATAAATAAGTAAAAGACTCTTCCAGTCTGCCAAATCCCTGTCTGCAGACTTTAGATTAGTACAATGAGCAGAAAAGCAGACAGCACAGGAGAGTCTGCCAAAGAAATAGTACTTGCTGAGTCTCTCTTTTTTTTTATATATATATATATATGGATCCCTTTTGCCTTCAGAACTGTCTTAATCAGAGATTTTGGTCCATATTAACATGAAAGCATCATGGCAGGATGGATCCATGCTTTCATGTTATTTACGCCAAATTCTGACCCTACCATCTGAATGTCTCAGCAGAAACCAGACTCATCAGACCAGGCAACCTTTTTTCCAATGTTCTATTGTTCGATTTTAGTGAGCCCAGGCAAATTGTAGCCTCAGTTTTCTGCTCTTAGCTGACTGGAGTAGAGCCTGGTGTAGCGCCTGGTGTGGTCTTCTGTTGCTGTAGCCCATCTATTTCAAGGTTTGACATGTTGTGCGTTCAGAGATGCTCTTCTGCATGCCTCGGTTGTAACAAGTTGTTGGTTGTTGAGTTACTCTTGCCTTTCTATCAGTTTGAACTAGTCTGTCCATTCTCCTCTGACATCAACAATGCATTTTCACCCACAGAGCTGCCACTCACTGGATTTTTTTGCAGCAGATCAGCAGTTTCTGAAATACTCAGACCAGCCTGTCATGTTTAAAGTCATTTAAATCACCTTTCTTCTTCATTCTGATGCCGGGTGTGAACTTCAGCAGATTGTCTTGACCATGTCTACATGCCTAAATGCACTGAGTTGCTGCCATGTGATTGGCTGATTATATATTTGCGTTAACAATCAGTTGAACAGGTGTACTTAATAAAGTGGCTGGTGAGTGTATATACACATACATATTACGCCTGGCCATTTAATGTTAAATTAGGAAAATTCATTAGTACAGCACATGGTAATAAAATATATACTATTATTTATTATGTTTTTTTTTTAATAATTTAGCTTATATATATATATATATATATATATACACACACACACATCTGAAGTCACTTTTTGTAAAATTATTTGAATGATTATTTTATATTAAATAAACGAGTTATTGTGCGTATTATGCTGTCACTTTAATTATTTATATAAATAATTGATTGACAGCCCCAATATTACAAAGAGGAAAAGAGACAGCAAGTACTCTTTAATAAGCAAGAGGAAAAAATCAAATCAGGCAGGCTGTCAAAAAAATAAAAAAAATATAAAATAACTCACTCAAAAATGATCAAAAACAGTCCCTGTGCTAACAGCGCAAGGCATCAAGGGAAACCAAGTGACCTTTCATTGACTGCCTCGTATCAGGACTGCAGAGAATCCTGGGAGTGTAGCTTGGCAACATTAATGCAGATTGTTCTGTAAATAGATATTTTTATGCTAGTTAAGCCATATGAAAACAACTTGACACAAGCATTGCAATGTTAAAACTATATGAAAGTCAATGGCCCTAACTGAACTGAACAGCTCTGTATTTGAGTCACACATTCAAGCTAAAGTAAGTGCCATGGTCCCAGTGACACTTGAAAACCTGTGATGCCTTTAGCTTTCTTTGGCGTATTTAAAATCTATTCAACTCTCCCAGGCATTGCTGGCCATCAAACAATCTATACCCAGGAACACTGCTGTCTGGTCAGCCTGGAAGAAAGATGGTTTTGGTTTACACTCGGTCGCTGACCCGATCAGCTTCTGCTCCGCAGGGATACACAGGGCCAAGAACAATTACAAGCCAGTGTAACGGGAGATGTTTGCAGAGTTGCTCGTTAAACTCAGCATGAGCCATGTTTGATGATAAAATTTGTAATTTTTTTTTATGTTGAAACAACAATCTTCTGTACCAGCTTAACATGCAGAGACTACAAGCAGTTGAAAGCAATTGAATAGTAGATAATGTAAAATCCAAAAAGTTTAAATATTGTGGCATTACACACAGAAAATGTTGCTATTACTTTTTTCAAGTTAATGTACATGTGAGTAGAGCTGCAAGCAGCGATGACGGGCCCAAGCCATCAGCACAATCGCCACCCTAGTGGCATTAGGAAAACCTTGCACAGCAGACGAAATGCTGAAGTTTGATCTAAAACAAGACAATGTATGCAAAAGTTATTAGGCACTTCCTCTTTCCTATTTTTTGTCATAAATGCATCACCTCGCCACGGCCAAACCATCCAAGATATAAAAAAACTCTTTGCAATTTAGCATTCCCTATATCTTGTGATCATGTTGACCGAGTTTGGTTGCAATTGGATGAAAACCCTAGGAGGAGTATCGGAAATTCCGCAGCATGCGTTTTTCACAAAAGCATGTTAAGGGTCCCAAAAAGCCCTGGATAGTCGAAAAAAAAAACCCTTAGGAAAACAATAGGGCCCTTCTCCCCTAGTGGCTTGAGCCCTAATTAGTAGAATGTAATATTGTAATATTGTAGTATGTGGTATAAATAACATAAATAACATAAAAGTATAATCAAATCTAATTTTACACTACACTATCAATATATATAGTATACGTATTATAAAAGTGTAAGTGTAATATAAACATATAATTTACCATTTTACATTATATATATACAGTATATATACAGTATATATATATATATATATATATATAAAATATTTATTAAGATGTTAAGTTAGTAGGTTTAGTAATGGGGTAGGATAAGGTCACGCAGAATAAGGCATTAATATGTGCTTTGTAAGTACTAAAAAGTCCTAGTAATATGCATGCTAATAAGCAACCAGTTAATGAGAATTGGACCCTAAGCTAAAGTGTTACCATATGTACACACACATTTTTGTTATTTTTGTAAAGTAAATCTGGTTACAGTCGCACTAGTAGAGATCCACTGCTATCGTATCCATTTTCAACTTGTGTAATGATTTGGTAATCAATATGACACTAGACCTTCCCCTGGTAACACAACATAGATTTTAGCTGGTCTAGCGGTTCCTGGAAAAAAGAGATAATGGAAGACAGAGTCGAGCATTGGGACTATAATTCTCTTTTCTGGATGATATAGACTGCCATTTTCTATCTGCAGAATTTCATAATCAACAGGAAATGATATCCTGGACAACAGTGCAAGCTGGAATGATTGCTGGCATGTACCGTTAGGACTCAGAAATATGTATCATTATCTTTGTCAGCCCTTTTTCACTGCTGATCAGTGCATGTGCATGAGCTCTGAAGACACATGAGCACATCATTCCTGTCTAAAGGGGAGGATGTGTGCAGGCCTCGTTCTAAAGGCCATATCATTCACAAACGCACTTCACAGTGCTCCCAAATTAAATCATTTCAGACACTATGTGACATATCTCATTCCCCAAAGCTTTAGAGATACGCTGTACAAGTCAACCAGAAAGCCTCAAAGTACACTGCAGAAAAAGGATTTCAAATGTGACACAAGCTACAGGAAACCACCGTTTGATTAGAAACAAAGAGAAACACAATCACACTACTTTGTAAATGTTGAAAAAGCCTCCCGGGATGCTAAAAATGAGATCTGTACTTTCTCAAAGAGAAGGAAAGAAGGAAATCGAAGGTGTGAAGATTTGTATTCTGATCGTGCTAAATACAGTGAAGTGAAAATCTCTAGCAGGAGCGTGTAGTGGAATATATAGCTAGAAAATGAAGACAGTGTAAACTGGCATGTACCGTTAGGACTCAGAAATATGTATCATTATCTTTCTCAAGCCCTTTTTCACTGCTGATCAGTGCATGTGCGTGAGCTCTGAAGACACATGAGCATATCATTCCTGTCTAAAGGGGAGGATGTGTGCAGGCCTCGTTCTAAAGGCCATATCATTCACAAACGCACTTCACAGTGCTCCCAAATTAAATCATTTCAGACACTATGTGACATATCTCATTCCCCAAAGCTTTAGAGATACGCTGTACAAGTCAACCAGAAAGCCTCAAAGTACACTGCAGAAAAAGGATTTCAAATGTGACACAAGCTACAGGAAACCACCGTTTGATTAGAAACAAAGAGAAACACAATCACACTACTTTGTAAATGTTGAAAAAGCCTCCCGGGATGCTAAAAATGAGATCTGTACTTTCTCAAAGAGAAGGAAAGAAGGAAATCGAAGGTGTGAAGATTTGTATTCTGATCGTGCTAAATACAGTGAAGTGAAAATCTCTAGCAGGAGCGTGTAGTGGAATATATAGCTAGAAAATGAAGACAGTGTAAACCTCCATTTAAATCAAGACTGTTGTTGTACTTGTCAATGCAATATACTGATTGATCATTACATTTGTTAGCATTATAGACACGATTCACTTAAAAGAATAGTTCACCCAAAAATGAAAATTTACTGAAAATTGACTCACCCCTCAGGCCATTCAAATAACAAATATATATCAGGATTTTGATGTGAGAGGACAACAGGGGATGGACTTTTTCACTGAAGGAAGCATTATTCTTATATTCTGGCCAGAAGCAATTGTTTAAATTATAGATTTGTTTCTTTCAAATGCTGAGCTTTTCACGTCACAAGAGATTAACTGATGGATTGGAGTCATGTTGATTATTTGTGGATTACTGTGCATTTATCAGCTGTTTGTCTCTCATTCTGACGGCACCCATTCACCGCAGAGGATCCATTGGTTAGCAAGTGATATAATGCTAAATTTCTCTAAATCTAAACAAACTAATCTCTTGGATGATCTGAGGGTATGAAAACTGCTAGCAAATTATTACTGTTGGGTGAATCATTTCATTATAAACACGTTTCTGGTTTTACTAGTACGTAAACTGTTTTTTCCTTCTCTACTTGCAGGGTCTATTGCAAGATGCTCTTATATCAAGTACCACTACTCCTCGGCCACAATACCCAAGAATCTCTCTTACAACATCACCAAGACCATTCGTCAGGATGAGTGGCACTCTCTGCGTGAGTAACTTTCATTCATAATAATAAAGTGGGACCTCAACATTCCTCGCTTTAAACAACTAAAGCATTAATATCTCAAACCGCCATGCTAGCTTGACTAAGTTACATTTACAGTACGAATCAGTGTATATTTTAACCTTTAATGCTGAGACAAGCACTTTGTAAACCATACAAACAGTAATCATCTCTGACCTAGTGATCTCATTTACTCAGACATATTACTTGCTAAGGTCAAGTCAAAACCATATATGGAAGTGTAATTTATTTCAGGCAAGCTCTCAGTAGACCTAAAGATGAGGTGATTTGTTGTTGGTTTGTGGAAGGAGGAAGTAGGGTACATATCTCAAAGTCAGATGTACCTTGTTGACCCACTTTTGCTTGGTTCCCACCCTCCCCATATAAAAAGGAAATTATGAAGATGCTTATAGAGAAGTGGTGGAAAAAATGCGCGAATACAGAGAGTGGAGCATTAGTGCGCAACCTGACCCGCAAAAAGCTCAGCAAAACTGTAAAGCCCATTATTCACACATTTTTACACATTCCTCCTCTTGAGGGTTTGTTTTTAAATATGCTATATCTACCATTTATAAATCCATTTTGCTGGTAAAAATTAAATAAAATAAAATAAAAATGAACATATATAAAATATTATTTACATATTACATGCATTAAATGCAATGTATGGTCATTTTTTAGGCATTTACTTTAGTTTTATTTAGCATTTATCTTGCCAGATTGAGTTGGTTTACTCCAGTCTTCAGTGTCATATGATGCTAATATACTGATTTAGTGAAGAAACATTTCTTAATATTAGCAACGTTGAAAATGATTGTGCTGCTTAGTATCTTTGTGGCAACCGTTTTTTCCTGATGAACAAAGTTCAAAAGAATGGCATGTATTTCAAATGGAGATATTTTGTAACATTATAATGTCGTTACTTTCTCTTTTGATACATTTAGATTAGTTTAAATTAGTGTCCTTGCTGGATAAAAGCAAATTACAGTTTAGCTTGGGGAACAAATTTTCATTAAAAACAGGACTGAGGAAGCATGCAATACAACAAGGTTGTCTAAATATGGCTCTTCAGCGTGAAGCGCACAACAACAGAGCTTCTCCTTTCTGGCTGACGTCCACAGTTGTGACACTGCTTTTCACTACAGTTTACAAAATTTACACTGAGTGGGGAGCGTGTAAATCTACACAAAAGGCCTTTTCCTTGGAGGGTATTGGCTTGTTTGGAACCCTCTTAAGGGATGAGATTGTGGTTTGGAGCTGCTGTGTATCATGGGCAGAAGAAAGAGCAGGATTCAGCATGCCCTCAAACTGTCATGTGGTCACACTCCAATGCGCTGCGGAGATCAGCCTGTCAGGTGACTGAAGAGACACCTCTCCTTTAACCCCAAAAACCCACCAGTATCTACACCTCCATGTCTCTTTTTCCTCATTTTCCAAAGCTTCAACATGGAGGGTTATGAAAGCAGAGATGCATGAATGACACTGCAAGAAAGAGACAGCTCTCAGTGCAGTCAAGTGCAACAGATGAAAGATCTCTGTGGCACCCAACATTTCTTACGGTTTCTATTTTGTACACAGTATCTGGTTCACGTGAACCTGTAATCCTGTTAATTTACTTTTTGATGACCCCAGACCCCAGCAAGAAATCTTGCAGATGGAGTTATAGTTTATGTCAAAAGTTAAAATCTGAGCCAATAGAATATTATATGAGCCATAATATAACTAATAAATGGCTGATGTTAAAATTCTATTCTATTTTCTCCAAATGAACTGAAAATAAAATGCTAAAAAACAAAACCAGTTGTTTTAATTTTGAATGAATGAACATACACTACAGTTCAAAAGTTTGGATTTATGTATTTTAAAGATGTCTCTTTTGCTCATCATGGCAGCAATTATTTGATCAAAAATAAAAGTAAAAACAGTAATATTGTGAAATATTTTTATGCTTTAAAATAACTGTTGTCTATTTTAATGTATTTTAAAGTGTAATTTACCACCGTGATGATCACACGTTGCTTCAAAAATCTTTCTAATATGCTGATTTGGTGCTCAAGAGACATTTCCTATTATTATCAAATTTGAAAACAGTTGTGCTGCTTAATATTTTCATGCAATATAGGAAACTTTTTTTCAGGATTCTTGAGAAAGTAAAAAAAAAAACAGCATTTATTTAAAATGTCTCTTAAAGATGAAAAATCATGTAATATTATAAATGTCTTTTTTGTCATTTTTGACCAATTTAATGCCTCCTTACTGAAGAAAAGTATTGATTTCTTTCAAAAAAAATTGGACTGGTCACAAACTTTACATACACCTTGTATATTATATAATAATATATAAGGTAATCAATGTTTAAATTAAAGGAAATAAGCATGCACAATTAAATATCCAATAAAGAAACACCTAATATCGACTAATAACCAAAACGATTCTGATATATTGTGTATCTCTATTTAAAATACGATCTCATACACACTTGAGCTTAGATTACAACATGTTCACATGGTATATTTAGAGTCTCCCAGTGTGTCTGTCATTTGATCCAAGCATTCTGACCTATACTGTAAAGAAAGACATGGAAGGGTCAATTTCTCGGTTAAAGTCAGGCTGAGATGTTTAATGTTCTTAATACGGCTTACACAGCAGCTCCAACAAATCAAACAGTCCAATGAAATCCCTTCCTGTGGTGAGAGAACCTTAAATGTAAAACTAGGGCTGTGCAAAAAAAATCAAATGCGATTTTCATGCGCATCTCGTCAGTAAAGCCGCTCCTGTGATTAGTAGTAAATCTCCAGCACGTGCGTTCGGATGGAGTGGCATTTACTACACAGAGCCGTAGTTCACTGACAAGCTACACAAAACTGCGTTCAAAATCGGCAACTTTTTTCAAAAGCGATTTTGTGTAGCTTGTCAGTGATCTACGGTTCTGTGTAGTAAATGCCGCTCCATCTGAAAGCACATGCTGGAGATTTACTACTAATC